ACTGCGTGCGTGTGCTCTGTGAGTGCAACTTGTGTTCTGCATTCTTCGATAATGTAGGAGCGGTAGCTGTTGTAGCCGGTAATCAGGACTAGTTGGGAACAGACTGTTGTGGCTCCGAGCTCTTCCCCCTTTTCGGCATTCTCTCCAGATATTACCGTCCGTTGACCTTTCTAACTTTTGACAACAGCACTAAACGAACTTCTCCAACATCGACCGATGAAAATTTCGAAATTGATGGACTTTTGTTCTACCGTCTTGAGGGTTGCGGACGATGATAGAAACCTGTTTTGCCCTTGCTGAATCTCCACATTCTGATAAAGAGGATGAGCTCAGCATGACCCTTTTTAAAGAAGACGTTGAGGGCAGGGGTGGGACGGCAGGAAAGGAACCCCTTGAAAGGAAGGTGCTCCTTCAACTGGGCCAATGAACCTTTCCCTGTAATCTTCCAACTACGTTGATTTGACCGAGCATCAATCATCTTCCTTTCGTTGCCAAAGTGCCGTACATAACCATGCACGGAAAAGGACAGGCCGATGGAGAAACAAACAAACCCATACACACTAGACACACACGCGCACACTTCTAAACATGCTAATATTAATACTCCTATTCATGTGCGATCGAAGAAGTTCAAATTCAGCCTTTAGTCGGTACGGCCGCGCCAAAATTCACACTGGCACTATGCCGATAAGAGCAATTGGATATTGCTCCAGACCAAGGGGAACGTTGTAATTTGGAAATTTACTGTCCATGTGTGGGACCATAAACATAGAGTGGACTTACAGGTCCTCTTATGTCTCATGTACGGCACGTAAATTTGATTTAGCAATTCTGCAACCCCGCAGCCGAAGTACTTAGGCTGCCGAAATCTTCTGCGCATGGTCAGCACCACGTTTGGGCAGCTCGAGATGAGAGCATCTTTCAGGTCCCTCTGATCTTACGTACAGACACGTGCAATTTGATGCCGATAATTTTGTAATTTTGGAACCAGTGCAGCTGGAGTGGTCGTGAGTATGGCCCAGGACATGTAAAAATAGCCTTCACTTACTTCCCTATCATCTCATATACGGTGCAATCTGGCGCTAACAATATTTGCATAACGCACATCGTGAAATGCAAAATAAAGATAATGACGAACTTGAATCTTAGCAAGAAGTACCTGCCCAAAAGAATGGTACTGATCATCAATTAGCACCAAAATTCCGTGGGGGAAAACTGTGCAAAAAAATTGGCCAACGCACGGGCTGCCCGTGCGAAGATGCGCTTTTTGCAGAGTTCCCCGCAATTTTTGTCACTATCGGAATTGGTTTTTTCGGCAAATGCTTCAAGCTAAACTATTTAAGATTGGTTGCCAGGACTGGTAAGAAACACCCCCTTAAAATTTCAGTTTCTAGTTTTCCTGGCTCCTGAGTTAGCAACTTACTGGAAAAAACTTTCACGGGCCCGCACGCGGGTACGACGTATGCCCGATATCTGGATTTGAGCTCGTTAAGACTTACTTGGACGGGAACATTCCCTTAAAGTTTCAGCCTTCTAACTTCTTAGACCCCCAAATTATGAATTTGCGCGGGAAAAATTTTGGAGGGCCCGTACGCGGGTACCACGCTTACCCGGGGGCAGGATTTGAGCTCATTAGCACCTGCTTGGACGAGGAACATTCCCCTAAAATTTCAGTTTTCTAGCACCTCAGAACCCCGAGTTATGAATTTGCGCGGGACTCCGTACGCAGGTACCACGCTCACCCGGGGCTGGATTTGAGCTCATTAGCACCTGCTTGGACGGGGAACATTCCCCTAAAATTTTAGC